CATATGGGCTGGGTTTGAGGGGAGCTGGACGGCCCAGACGTTTGGGCTGGCTTTGAGGGGTCCAGTTGAGTGTTTGTTTTTTGTTTGGGCACTGCCCAGGCTATCCCCAGGCGTTTAGGGGGTGGGGTGGGGGGGAGGGGGAGGGGGTATTTGGGGTTGATGTTTGCAAGTGCACAGAGTCAAGCACAATTCACGCGAAGTATTTGCCCAGTTCATGTGCCGAAGCCATAGATAACTCATAAAAAGATAACTACCAACCTGCAGGTACACTGCATGTCACAAACGCAGCTAAGTTCACACTCAAGCAGGAGTTTGGAAATAATTTACTAAGTATTGCTATAACGTAAATGGTTAAAGAGGAGAGTTTAACTAAGTATTGCTATAACGTAAAATAAATACTCCCTCCGATCCAAAAAAAGGTGGCATGCTTTAGTTCAAATTTGAATTAAAGCTGAACTAAAGTCATGACACTTTTTTTTGGATCGGAGGGAGTACTAGACTAGACAGAAATAAACTAAGAAGAATTAATATGATGTTTCAGATGAGCAAAGTGATGACAAGGTGGAGATTAGTTATACCCGGTGACATGGATGGCGGCGCTCCACATATGTGCAATATCACCTTGTGTTGGTCGGATAATCTACTCATGGTGGGCGGTCCCTCAAATAGCATTGCCTATCAAGCAGCGCCTTATTGAGAGTTTGAGACAACTCAATTGTCCTACTTCTTGTTACATACATGCAGCAGCTAACGGAGTCATCGTCCTTCTAGCGCCGTAAGGCTCACGCCATTGGCAGAGTTCTCCGTGTCTTCCATCGCTTCAGTGGTTTCGTAGTTTATCCGTGCAAAATACACAGGTTGCTCTGGCGGTGCACGAGGAATGGCTTCACTGTCGAGCATGGAAACGACCGATGACATGTGTGGCCTAGCACTGGAGCTGTCCTGGACACACAAGAGCCCAACATGGATGCACTTGGACACTTCGTCAAGCGAATAGCTCCCCGTGATGGCCGCGTCCACGAAATCCCTCACTCTTCCATCTGCCCACAGGTTCCAAGCCTGAAACATCACGGAGAAGTTCGTAATTTATATTTGGGTTCAGTTATCAGAATCTGAAGCATCTCTTAACACAGTACATAACACTTACATAGGATATGAGGTTTGAAAAGTCCATCACAAGATGATGAGGTGAGCTGATCTTTAATCCACTTACAATCTCTAGTAGCAAAATACCAAAGCTGTAGCTGTCAGACTTGACGGAAAAAATGCCCTCCATCGCATACTCAGGCGACATGTACCCGCTGTTTATGTATATGTGTAGTTTGAGTTATTTCAGGCGCATAAATAAAATTTTGAGACAAAGAGCTAGTGCAAGAGTTACTTACTAAGTCCCAACAACTTGTCTGGTACTTTCCTGTTGCTCGTTGCCTCCAAAGATCCTTGCCATTCCAAAATCTGATATTTTTGGATTCATTTCCACATCTAGCAGGATGTTGCTTGGTTTGAGGTCTCTATGGATTATCGTCGTTCTCGAATCTTGGTGGAGATACATAAGTCCTCTAGCTACCCCTTTGATTATGTTGAACCTTCTTGTCCAGTCAAGTACAGACTTCCTTGCAGTATCTGCCAAAGAACAAGATGTGTATGCACATGAGTGCAAGGCATCTAGTTAGCCGTTCAGAGACTACTTTCTAGAGAATGGGATTGGAACATACCAAAGAGAAACTTGTCTAGGCTTTTGTTGGGAAGGTATTCATAAATAAGCAACTTCTCTTCCTCATGAATACAACAGCCAAGAAGTCTAACTAGATTCTTATGCTGCAATTTGGCAATAAGAACCACTTCATTTATAAAATGCTCTATACCCTGCTCAGAACCCTTGCTAAGCCTTTTAACAGCAACTTCCTTTCCGTTTTCTAGTGTTCCCTGTGTAATTTCATAATTATTGAAACAAATTAACAAGGAGGAAATTATATGTTGTAATTAATTGACAAAGTCAAGTGTTTTTACAACCTTATAGACTTTGCCGAACCCTCCTTTTCCAAGTACGTTCGTGTCATGGAAACTGTTTGTTGCAGCAGCGATGTCTTCGAACCTAATAGAGCGCAATTCCAAATTTTGATCCCAAACTTCTTGCGAAGTGCTAAACTGTTCCAGGGCCGGTCTTTTCATGCTTTCTTTGTTTGCTTGTTTCCCTGCAGAAATATCAGTAACGTAACCACTCAGCACTATTACATGAACATCATATTACAGGAAACTGGAGTCCCTTATTCTACCTCTTAGCTTGCATATACAGACAAGATATATGCATGAGAGTATCACCAGGAACGATATAACTGGGAGTGCAATCTTTAATACCACACGGACACCACTCTTCCTGTTGTGTCCTGTCAAGAAAATAATGAAAAGAGTACTGCATCAAGATTCAAGCATAGCTTGTGAGAGTACACATTTACCTTTTTCTCAATGAGTACAAGATATCGATTTACTTGCATATGATACCAAAGAAGGTAGTAAAATGCATCTTGTATCTCAAATATAGTTACAGATTTTGTTTCAGAAATGAGTACTTGCAGACACCAAAAGTAACTTGGCTAACTAGCATGGCCGGCCCTGGGTAGGGGCAAGAAGTGCGACGCCCTAGGGCCCCACCTGATGAGGGGCCCCAACCTGTGTGGTACGTACGCTATACAGCCCATTGTTTTATTGTTCAGCCAATCGTTTCTTCAAGTAGAGTTCGGATTCCATCGATTATGACTGATTCCATCGATCTCCCCGCGTCTGTCTTCTCGTTCTCCATTCCGCTCCTCTTCCGAAGCACCTAGCAATGATTATGACTGGTTCCGTTGATCACCCTTAAATTTTTCATCACTACTACTCGTACCTTATGGATTTCTCTTTTTTTTTCTGCAGCACGCTACCTATAAGTACGTCCCATCCTATAAGCAGCCGCAGGGGGGGCCAGCCGAACCACATCAGTTATGTTTGCTTTGCAACTAGGATGGACACCGCCTCAAAAAGTTCTAGTAACTTTTCAGTCTGTTTTCCATTTGATCTTTGTACTCAATTATGTAATTTTAGCTCACTAGTTGGTCTTCTCTTTCTATACAGGTTTCTCAAACACGAAATTGAGGATGGAGCGAGGTCGAAGATGTTTGGAATTGGCTAGTTCAATTTCTACTTTTCTCCTCCAACGATTCAGCTGTCCCCCCTCCTTTCCTGCAGTATACGTATAACCTAAAAAGCTTTGTTGGTTGTTTGCTAAAATTTACCATGTCCCTGGTGTATTATGAGATCGTATTTGCTAATGAATTCTTGGTACTGTTGTTTAGTTAGATGTTTGAAGTCCGATAAACTTTTGTGATATATATCAGTATGAATGAAATTATTGACTATGTCTTTCAAAAAGAAATGTCTTTCTTCATGGGGCCCACTTTTGAAGCTCGCCCCGGGCCTCGGAAAAGTCAGGACCGGCCCTGCTAACTAGTGCAGTGTTACAAGTGTGTGAGATGGAAAAATAGCCTACCGACACAATTCTGAATGAAATGCTAACTGATGAGTTTATTCGATAATAACAACTATAAGTCCCGGGTAGGAAAGGCTGGTGTTCGTAGTTTGACAAGCAGACTATTACTGCAGGTTAAAAGAATTAAAGCAACCATGGAAGTATGGAACAATATACATACCAGGAGAACCAGCAAGCCGAAGGTACAGGTTGCCACCAAGTACGCCTGTCTTCTCTAAGTCAACAAGCTCCCCTGTCCAGACCAAGCATCTTGATGGGCCACCGGTTGTGACAATACTGCTCAAGTTGGCGTAAGCGTACGCAGTGCAGGAGCAGTTACGCTCACACTCAGCAGTGCACTCCTCGAAGCTTCTGCTCCTCACATACACAAACTTGTCAGGCACCTTCATCCCAGGCAAGGCTGAGAAATGGTAGCCATGACATGTCAGCGCCTCCTTTCTCACGCATCCTCTGGAGAAGTTGGCACTGAAGCCGTCCGCTGGCTCGAACCCATCAAGGCACCTGCACACCCTGGTGAGCATGTCACAGTAGCCAAAGGGACCACACGAGCCGTATTGGCGGCAGCCATCATCTGGGCGCTTGAACAGAACCACCCATGACTGGCCACTCCAGATCCTGAGCATCAAGTCGCCCGTGTAGTCCAGCTTCCAGTGCGATCTCCGGGAGGAGCTGTTGCCAGTGTTGTACGTCGAGTAGATGATCTCCCCGTCATCGACGTTCTGGGACCACATGTATCCGTTCTTGTCTGAAGCTTCTGCACCGTTCCACAGTCCGCTGCGCCAGTACTTGCTTGTCCCCCGCCAGGTGAGGATCTGTAGGCCCGTGCTGGGGTCACGACTGAGGAAGAATTTCCCGGTGGATGGGTCTTGAGAACCCTTCCAAGCAACGATGCGCACTGCTGTGTGGGTCTTGTAGTTCGCCCATAACTTGAAGCCGGGGAGGATGGTGTCAGTTGGGTGATCATAGCTCTGCCATACCTGCATGAAATTCTGCAACTGGACGACAAAGTTCCCTGCCTCGAGCAGCAGCGCCACAGCCCCATCACCTCCGGCGGTGACGTTGTTCGTCGTCCTCCAAAGGATACGGCCCTTGGAATCTGACAAGACAAGGTCAGAGCTGTTGGTGAGAACCAACTTCCCAGACAAACCGCTGCCGATTGGGTTGTCGCGGTTGGCCACCCACACATACGTCCGCTCCGGGATGTCGTGGTACCATATGCCTACATATGAGTTTGCGGTGGAGTTTTCAGGGGAGAAGAAACCAAGAGCAAAGATGCCATTGTTGGAGACGAGCTTGTCGCCAGGCAAGAGTGGCTTCGCAGGTGTAAGGCGGTCATCGGATTTGCAGAAGCAAATCGATAATAGAAGGATACAAAAGGGGAGCAGAGTCATGCCTGTATGTTTGTGAAGAGCAAAACAAGGAGATTGTATGAAAAAAATGCTTTGGATTAGCTTGGTTGCAGGATAGGAAACTGCTGCTGGTCTTTGTGGGGAATTAAAGGACCTAGAAATGCTCCATGTCAAAGCCATGGATGTGTTGATTGTATCAAACACGCCAAGAAACCGTGGTCGACTCGCAACCATCGGGTGACCGGAGTCCCATCGCAGTCCTCGTCGGCATAAATGCGCCATGGTAGCAATAGTCCGGGGACTTGGATCTCACACAGCCAGGCCACCAGACAACCTGACGCAACACTGCAACAGGATGGTGCAGAAATTAATGTCCAGATCTCAACATCTTTGACGACTCGCCGCTCTCTGGCAGGAAGCGTGGGAAGTACATGTTGGACGAAAGGTGTGTGCTAACTGCTCAGGAACGGGTTACCGTCAGATGGAGCTCCGGCGGGGTCGTCCCGGCGACGTGCGGGCACACTGTCCCCTTATCAGGCGGCACCGGCCCGTTGCTTCAGAAGGAAAAATTATCAGGCAGCATCCGAATTTGTCAACTCGAGTGGGTGGGATGAGCACGTACCGACGGCGAGCGCGACAGGCGGGGGAAATTAGGGGAGGGTGGCCGCGACGGCGCGATGAGGTGCCGGCCGCTTGCTATGGCCACCTGGAATGAGAGGGGCAGGCAGGGGAGACGACGCGCCGGAGACGCATATGGCGGTGGCGCCATGATTGGCGGACCAGCGGCGCCAGTGGGGACTGGGGCGAGCCGGCGGCGGCAGTGGGGGGACTGCGGCGAGCCGGCGAACGCAAATGGCCGCTACTTGCTTTCTTGTGGGCTGCCAAGCGGGCTGCAAGTTTACTTAGGGGCTTGGCACCGCTCAAAGCTCGCCGCCAGCGCGGCCCATTAATGTGTCTTTTCCATAAAGAATCAAAAAATATTTTCTTTTCTTAATAAATTTTTAAAATAATTTCATCTAAATTTTAGTTTAAAGTGAGACAGTTTACGTAAACAAATATAAAATTATAATATATCTGAATATATATATATATATATATATATAATATTTGTCTCACGTTAAAAAACGAAAATGTTAACGCCCACACGTGTGGGCGTTGACCATCTCGACCACACACATCCATCACCGTCCAGTACTATATGCACGAATCTTGACACAATCTGGCTGATTTTTCTATGCCACGTAGGACAAGGCGTGTGTGTGGTGTGTGACATAGTTCGCCCACACATCCGTTTTATCACACGGAGGGGCCGGTGTGTGGGCGTTTAGCAGTTCACCCACACACCAGTTTTCAGTCACACACAAGGGCCGGTGTGTGGGCATTTGCCATCTCGCCCACACGCCCGTCTCCTCTTCCACACGTAAGCTGCTAGTTGCCATGTGTTTTTGCAGCGCACATGGCAACTGCCTCTAGTGTGCTTTGTAAGCAGGTGGCAACTCTTTTTTTTTACCCGAGTTGCCATGTGTTTTTGCAGGGTACACGGCAACTGCCAAGTGTGCACGTAAGCAGATGGCAACTGTCTTTTACCGAGTTGCCATGTATTTTTGTATGGTACATGGCAACTGCCTCAACGTGCACGTACATGGCAACTGCCCTAACGTGCATGTAAGCAGATGGCAACTCTTCCTTATTACATGGCAACTGCCCTAGCATGCTTGTGAGCACATGTCAACTCTCTCAACTGCCTAGTGTTAGTATGTGGCAACTCCTAAAGTTATGAAATCATGGTAACTACATTAGATCAGACTATACATGGCAACTGCAGTTGAGCAACCATGGCAACTGCAGTTGTCCGACATGGCAACCGTAGTTCAGCGACATGGCAACTGCAGATAAACGAACATGGACGAGGGTCTGGACCATGGCAACTGCGGTCGCGCGGTGGGCGTCATGCGTCGCGTGCGGGACCAGAAGGGTACGAGGCCTGACATACGGGCGTGTGGGCGTTATCAACTTCGCCCACACGCACGCGTGTGAGAGGGTTCAGGAGGGAAAAAAGATGTGTGTGGGCATTAGTTGTTTTGCCCACACATAGGTGTGTGGGCTGGTTGCTGTCCATGCCACACGAGGCGTGTGGCACAACTACCCGATACACCACACGTGTGGCAGTTATCGGGACCCAAAAAAATTCCTGCACACAAAAAATATATTCATATACTCCCAAAACAAATATTAATATATTTAAAAAATATGCACGTGGGAAATTTTGTTCATGTAATTTTGAAAGGTGTTTACATATTTCCCCCAAATATGGGCGGAGTATCCTGTTAATGATGGCACTTGGTCATACACTGAGGTTGGATTTTTAGTCTTTATTTTGAAAAAAAAAGCAGCAAGCAATCTCAGGGTAAAGGTATAATGCAGGGCATACTGAGATGCATGCTATGATGGAAACCTTATTCTTAACAAATGAAGATAACACACAAGCATATCTGAATAGAAACACCTTGTCTGAAATGAGAAACAATATAAACCTTCAGTAATAATGCATTATCCACATTTTCTTCATACACAGTAAAGTCCACTTCGGTACTTCACATGCGATAAACTAACAGAGGTTACAACCACCACTATGCTGAAAACCACAATTTATGTGCAGTAAATTAGAGAGTTTACACCTATTATGGGGTTCCAATATATGGTATAAGCTGGCATTAAACATCTAACGCCCTATTAGTGTTGTGATACTCATGGTATTTTGTGAATTATCCATGTTTTCCCTGGTATGTCCATTTTCCTGATTTCTTGCTGCAAAATATGCAGGTTGCTCTGGCTCTGGAAGCAAAGTTATTTCATTCTCCAACATAAACACAGCTGATGACATGAGTGGCCTAGCATCTGAATGGTGTTGAACACACAAGAGTCCCACGTGAATGCACCGTAAAACTTCATGAATTGGACAGCTACCATCAATTGTTGAGTCCGCCAGTTCCATTGCATTTCCACCTTCCCATAATCTCCACGCCTGATGAATAAATTCAAGTTTCAACCAATTAACTCTAGTTTTGTTTAGGTCACCAGGTTCAAGCATTCCATGATACTTACATAAGTTGTAAGGTTTGGGAAGTTCATTATGAGCTGAGGTGAGCTGATCTTCAAGCCACTTACAATCTCCAAGAGAAGAACACCAAAGCTGTAGATGTCCGACTTAACAGAAAAGGCGCCACCCATCACATATTCTGGAGACATGTAACCGCTGTTTAAACATTAAGTTTGCCTCAGTGCACCTTTTAAAGAAAATAGTGTGGGTCTTACTAAGGGGCAGTTTGGTCACACTATTAAATAGTCTAGTTTTACACTTATCCAAAACCATCTATCTCTTTCATGACTTGCATGGAACATCCTAATCAAACACGACTGAAGATCCGTGGCTTTGGGGGATTTAAATTGGAATTAGCAATTGCAAAGATAATAGAGATTAAAGTACAAAAGTGAAAGTGCTCTTAACTAAGCTCATCCTAAATTACTGAATCTCTGAACAAACATAAGATTCTAATTTCATAACTTTCATCCGACAGGGCAGCGAAGCAAAGATATCCGACAAATCTGGTTAATTATTCAAAATTTTCTCATAACTGTCCTCACTTTTTAACAACAGCCTTTAGTTTTTGAATTTAATATATAGAAAATAGTACCCAACTAAACTCATCAAAGCATTTCACTAGCATTGAGAACACAAGTTGAACTTAACTAAACCAAAAATATACCAGGCAATGGGAGTAAAGGTGTTCATCCCTGCCAACTTGATTCTATCCCTAAGATTGAACAATATCATAGACACTGCTCAGCACATGAATTACTTACTATGTTCCAACAACTCTAATAGTGTTTCCTTGCTGCTGGTTTCCACCAAATATCCTTGCCATACCAAAGTCTGATATTTTAGGATTCATTTCATTGTCCAACAAGATGTTGCTTGCTTTAAGATCTCTATGAATTATTGTTAATCTTGAATCTTGGTGGAGATAAAGAAGGCCTCTTGCCACCCCTTTAATTATTTTGAACCGTGTCATCCAATCAAGGACATCTTTTCTTGTATTATCTTGCAGCATGAACAGATCAATAAAACAAATTGTTAGTCATCATGCATATTCTTTCAGAATCTGAACAAAAAAACAGTTTATGGTCAACATTGAGAATTTTGTGCAACATGAGATCAGAAGTCGGAATATACCGAAAAGGAAGGAATCCAGGCTTTTGTTAGGCATGTATTCATAGATCAATAACTTCTCATCATCATGAATGCAGCAACTAAGAAGTCTAACTAGGTTTCTGTGCTGCAATTTGGCAATTAGAGTCACTTCATTTCTGAATTCCTCTATACCTTGCCCAGAACCACTGCCAAGCCTTTTGATAGCAACTTCCTTGTCATCTTCCAGTATTCCCTACATAATTGTATACATTTTTGTGAGGTGCTTAATTCCATCATTCTGAACTGAGAAACAATGAAAGCCACAACTTTTTTTCTCCACTGAAACCTACTGCGTTTTTTGGCATATTAGACTGAAGATAATTTGAATAGATTGACAGGACCATTATGGTGTCAAATGTCAATTAGAAGGAAATAAAAAAACATATTTACAAAATCAGACCACAATTCTGGCGGACATATTGTACCCTACTTGCCGATGTTAATTAAGCTTAGTGTTACCTTGTAAACTTTGCCGAAACCTCCCATTCCAAGCATATTGGAGTCGGAGAAATTATCCGTTGCGGCCACAATATCTTCAAAACTAACAAACGGAAAATCTGAATTTTTGCCTCCAAGATCACTAGAAGCACCCAAGTATCGTAGCATCAGTTTCTTCTTGATTTCCTTCTTCCGCCGTACCCCTGCTGATTGACATTGGCACTTAACTGATTAGAACTTAAAGAATAGCTTGGTATGAAGGAAAGGAAGGTAATTATTGCTCTATCTTTCTACTCACATTTCCAGACAATGGCTATGCACGTGAGTAGTAGCAGGCATGCTACAACCGGTGGCACAATCTTCACTAAATTGCTATTTTTCTGAACTGCTGAAATGTATCACAACAGAATTTACTGCATCAAACATAACTTGCAAGAGTATAGATTTAGTTACTTGCATGAAGTACCATGACTGATCTGTGTACCTAGGTATTCTTAATTTCAGTAACCCCTCGAGCGGTACTGCTAGGCATGTGGTAAAACTGAGGGTGCAGTAGTACAAAATACTTGCAGTTTCCCTGTATAACAGAGCTCTATGATAAATGAAAAGGCAAGCTGTTTGCCCTTTCGTGAATAAAATAAATACTTGGTCATTTCCTGACTCTGCATAGACAAAAGGAACTGGCTAATTATGTAGTGGCATCAGGGACGAGTAGTATGTTCGCCTACAGTCCCATGTCTAAAATTTCCCTGTTTTGTACTCCCTCTGTAGAAAAATATAAGAGCGTTTAGATCACTAAAGTATATTTATTTAGTGATCTAAACGCTAGATCACTACTTTAGTGATCTAAACGCTCTTATATTTCTTTACGGAGGGAGTACTTATCTCTGCTGGATGATTAAAAAAAAAGTTCTTGTGCATCCAAGTAAACAAAAGAAAAACTATTGATCCGAAACAGTAATGTCGTCCATACCAGCAGGAGAGTCCCCAAGGCGAATGTACAGGTTCTCGCCATAGTTGTTGGTCTTCCACGTGTCGACAAGCTCCCCTGTCCAAACCAAGCACCTTGTCTGATCCCCCAGAGTGCCTGCACTGCTGAGGTTGGCGTAAGCATACGCTGTGCACGAGCAGTTGCCGCTGCACTCCGCCGCGCACTGGTCAAAGCTTCTGTTTCGGATGTGCAAGAACCTGTCAGGCACCTTCATTCCGGACAAGCGCAGAAAATGATTTTTGCTGCCACACTTCAGCGCTTCCACTCTCCGGCACCCTCTCGAGGAATTCATTGGATCAGGCTCAAACCCATCCAAGCACTCGCATGTGGGGGTGGCCCCCGTGAAGTCAGAGTAGCCAAACAGGCCACACGAGCCATAGACACCATAACCGCCGGAGGGGCGCTCGGATGTGGCTATCCATGATGAGGAGTAGCTGTTCCAGGTGAGGAGCCTCATGGTGCCGGTGTAGTCGAGCATGATGCGCGCGTACGGTGAGTCGTCGGAGACCGAGTACATTAGGTAGAACCTGTCCCCTGTGTTGACAATGGTCTGGTACACGACGGAGCTGTTGTTGCCAGGGTATGTGCCACCGGACACCGATGCGCCGTTCCAAACGCTGATGCGGCAGTACAGCTTGGCTCCGTTCCAAGTGACCATCTGCATGCCCAAGTCTGGGTCCAGACCGAACGAGAAGTCTCCTACGGATGGGTCATCCGGGCCCTTCCAAGCGACAAGGATCCGTCAGTCAAACTGATGTTTTTTTTTATCAAAATGCTAAACTCTACTATCATTAGTTCATCAAATATGAAATGTAGGATGTCAAAGTCGAGATTCATCTTTCAGCGTATAATGAATGGACAGCAAGGATCTAGACCAAATCACTGCTGACAAGGCATTCTCAAATGGTACTCGAAGTCTTCAACAATGATGCACGTTAGAAGAAAAACCGCTACTACAAATCTACAGTGGGGATTCTTGGTGGATTTTTGAGTGAGACGGCGAAGGCGACACCTCACTGCACTTTTGTCAAACGCACGAGCGCATCCCTGAGATCAGATGCGCCACATTATATAGTTATCCCTACTGCGTACTTTTACTACTGTAATAATTTCAAAAGTATGTACAAAAGACTAAAACAGAGAAAGAGATAAGCCTAGAGAGACTGCGATGAGAGTAAGGTTGACTGAAGCAGGCCACAGCAAAGGCTAAAAGCTAGACTATTATCAACGAAAAGCCAGGACCCAAGCCACAAATGAAGAGTATTTGTTCCTCTTAGCTGCAAATAAGCCATTCAAATTCCTGCTTGAAATTGGCTCTGCAGTCATATAAACTTGGAAGGACAGACTTGTGTGAAGATAAAACCATCTTCTTCCCCGCCTCTCATCTCAGATCTCGAATTCGAGATTTTCCCCCTCTTGCAGTTTGATTTTACCAAGTTCTGAGCTGGTTCGCGACACAGAATTCTGAGTTGAATACTTTCGAATTTTACCTTGGAAAATCCAAAATTCCAACTCGGATCTGACATTTGGGCTAGGCGGCGGCGTGCTCCCGCGCGACGGGGGCGCCGGCTCCAGGATCCAGAAGCTTCCCCTCCCCACCGGGCAGCGTGCCGCCGCGAGCTCGGGGGATGCGCGGGGTTCCGCGGGCGGCGGTGACGCGGTCAGAGAAATGGGGCGGGCAAGGGGAAAATGATGGTTGAGCGGCTGCGGGAACCTCCTCTGCTCCACAAGGCGAGGACTTCAGTGGACGCAGTTCAAACTGGCGGGACCGAAAACAACTCTGAACACTCCACACTTTTCCCTTTGCCATCCTTCACACAGACCCGAACATGGCAAACTACGGGGCTGTTTCATTCTAGGCCTTGCATTACCATACATACTTTGTCATATATTTTGCCAAGCTTGCCCTAAGGTTAGTACATTAAAATGAAAGTCACAAGTTGGCAAGCCTAAAAAATTTTTGTCATACTTTTTATGTGTATGTCATGTGGGGCCCTAGTATGGCTTGCCTAAAATGTGGCTTGAACCAAACACTCATCTAAGTTGATCAAATTTGCCTAATCTTTAATGTGACAGCGTTTAGCAAAGTTAGTCATAAACCAACACAATGGGATGCATTGTCTTTCAGTTTTGCTAAACCTCTTGTGCCTGATCTTTTTTTCCTGCCGTTCACTTTTTCTTCTTCCCGTGCATGCGAGATGGGGAGGCCGGACCTTGTCAGAGAAGAAGCAGCCTCATTATTTATCTTAGGCGTGTGGAGGTGTAGGTTCGCTGAAAACAGCAACCTTACTATCTATCTTAGATGGTCGTTCAATATTGATCTGATGGTCAGGAAAAAAATGACTGATTGAAACTTTTTTTCAGGTACCTATTAAATAGACAGTCCCATTATCATTTCCTTCTCACAAACCTACCTACACGGCTGAACCTTCCACTCTCACAATTATGACCACCGTCCCATGCTTTTGTTCCTATACTTGAATGTTGCAAAACATTCCTCTCTGGTTGGCACGCTAAAGCGAACCAACTGTGGTTGGATGGTTAAAGGGACTGTGGTATCCCTAGCCCATCAGGGTTCAAATCTTGGTGTTCGGATTTATTTCAGGATTTCCGGCGATGCGCATTCAGTGGGAGGACACGTTCCCGTCGACGACGAGGTGCCTACGTCGAATTCGTAAATTTCAAGATGATATACCGGCTCAGTCTTTCGGAGGTGCTCATAGGGATAGGGAGTGCGTGTGTGAGTTCATAGGGGTGAGTGTATGCGCGTGTATATGAGCGCTTGTGTCTGTACTGATGTTTAAAAAAGATTAGCATGCTAAACTTTTAGGTTAAGGTGATTGTCTCATCCTAATTACCACTGTCATAGACTCCCTTTTAACATACTACATATCGTCGATCATCCAAATCCCTTGAAAGGTTTTGAAAAGTATCAATGCTATCCGTAGAGTCTTCTTTTGGGCGGTAGAAGACACACGTTCTGGAGCTTAATGCATTATCGCTTGGAGTAAATGTTTGCAAACCAAAAAATATTGATGGGTTAGGCATTAAAAACTGGCATGTTCAACATAATTGATGGGTGGCATCGTCACGATCCTCTGGAGCCGCCGCCCGCAGGCACCGAGGCCCAAGACTTGCTCGTTGCAGGATTGGTAGAAGAAGAGGGGACCGACTGAGGTGCATTGCAATGTGGAATGGAGAGTGCATTGTGGACGGCGCCGGCAATGGGCTTGAATGCGGTTCAACGGCCCAAGTTGGTTCCTCGAGACGTTGCGTGCGCATTGAAGCGGCGTCCCCGAGAGGTCGCGTCAATCAGCGTCGCCCTCTCGTCCAGTCGCATCACGCAGCAACAATTTTTGCGTGTGCTCTGCATCGGCCCTTATACAGCACGAGAATCAGCGCGTGCGTCGAATAGAAAGGCGGGAGATGCAGGAGGGTTTTTGAATGGGTTGGGTGATAAGACGCGTACATGGTAGCGGTCCATATGCCCGTAAAGGTCCTCGCCGGTCTCCGGCAAATATGACGTCCGGACCGCCGAGCAAAGTGACAGAAGACCACGTTGGATGATAAAACACGCCCGGACGCGAGTCCAAACAGTTATGAGCGATTTGAGAGTCGGCGAGATTGGAGATGCCCAAACCAATCCTCTCCCGCTCATCCTCTCCGCCCCAGCTTGCTTCAGTTCGTTTTGGGCCAATGAAGCAGTACCATGAGCTGAGACACCGACAGCACAAAACTCGAGATAAGATATCCACACACTACGATGAGAGGGTGGGATCCTCTAGATTAGATTAGAGCCACTCACCTGGTAGGCAGTTGTCTATGGCTGCTCTAAGCGCATCGTGCCTCGTCGGTCCCGTCCCATTCAAGGACGTCGCCACCGCCGTCGATGGCCACAGCTCCACACCCGAAGAGTACGAGGACATCGTCTCCGGCCTGCCCAGCAGCACCGCGCTAGGCATGGTCCTGCGCCAATACCGTGGCTCCTGGGTGATCCAAGAAAGAGTCACGGCGTTCATCTCTCTCCAGCGACGCTTCACGCCACGCCCCGGGGACGTGCTCCTCGCGAGCCCGGCCAAGTGCGGCACGACCTGGCTCAAGGCGCTGGCGTTCGCCACCATGGCGCGGGGCGCGTACCCGCCCACCGACGCGCAGCACCCGCTCCTCCGCATGAACCCGCACGAGTGCGTCCCCTTCATGGACGAGCTGTTCACCGCCGGGCAGGACGCCAGGCTTGAGGCGCTGCCGTCGCCTCGCCTCATGCACACGCACATGCATCATTCCTTGCTGCCTGCCTCCGTTACTGATAACCCCGACTGCAAAATCGTCTTCATCTGCAGGTAAATGTTTTTGTTTTTGTTTGGCAAGTATAAACTGTTTCCTCTACTTGTTCTCCCATGAATTTCGGCATGTTGTTGCGTCACACCGTCAACGTGCACAACTCCATGAAAGATAATGAAGGCGAGTTGCTCATGGATCTAACTCTAACGTTGTATGCAGGGACCCCAAGGATATGCTTGTTTCCTTGTGGCATTTTGTCAAAGGTGTTCGTCCTTTCACGTTTGATGACCTGTTCAACTCTGCCTGCGAGGGGAAGACCCCCAATGGCCCCATATGGGACCACCTCATCGGCTACTGGAGCACAAGCAAGACCAGCCCGGACAATGTCCTTTTCCTGAGGTACGAAGAGATGCTCATCGACCCGGTCGGCCACGTCAGGGAGCTGGCGCGGTTCATCGGGCAGCCATTCTCACACGCCGATGAGGCGGCCGGGATACCAGCGGACATCGTGAAGCTCTGCAGTTTTGATAAGCTCAAAGGCCAAGGCGCCAACACGGCAGGCTCATACGACGGGAAGGTTTTCAGTTTCGCACATGAAACCTTCTTCAGGAAAGGGGTGGCCGGAGATTGGGTGAACAATATGACGCCCGAGATGGCGCAACGCTTTGACACCATCATCGAGGATACCCTTAGAGGGTCCGGCCTCACATTCAAGTGATCTCCATCTGTTGCCAAGGGCGGTGGTGCTGGTTGGTGCTTTGTTGGTGTTGATCGCTTCGACATGACATTTTTGTGTCATCATGGCTTTTGTTTTTGTTTCTCTTTCTTTTAGTATTTGTTTACTACTACCTCTCTCTCAGTTTACAGGGCGTGCGCGTGCCCCTAGATCGTCAATTTGACCAACCTAATACAAGTCATATATTACAAAAAATATATCAATATAAACTTCAGATGATATATTTTCAAACCGTATAATTTTTGTGTTATATGGTTTATATTAAGATGATAAAATTGGTAATCTAGATATATGCGTAAGACTTGTAAACTGAAACGGAGGTAGTATATGATTGTATGACTATGTCCTGAATTGAAAACACCGCGATGAAAGACGGATTATGCATCAATCGATGCACAAGCCAGAGGAGTCTCTAAGTTCCAGAACAATAATACTCCCTCCGTTCCATAATGTAAGACGTTTTTTGACACTAGACTAGTGTCAAAAAATGTCTTACATTATGAGACGGAGGGAGTAATAGTTTAGTTGTGTGTTCTAATTATCTTGACCGACTTATATTGTGCTATTGCAGGCTCAATTATAATCAGTATTAGTTTATACTACTCCCTCCGTTCCTAAATACTTGTCTTTTTAGGCATTTCAATAAG